AAAGGGGAAAAACAGGACATATGAACATGCGCGGCAGAAGAAAAAAGAGCGAAGGATATAATCGCACATTGAAAACTGAAGTAAAAAAGTAAAAGGCAGAAAGGCAGGTGTAGAACCAAGAAAACAACAAAAGCACCGAAAACAGGGAACAGCGGCAGCTCGAGTGTGATGACAGTGGAAAAAAAAAACCAAAAAACAAAAAAAAACGAACACGTGCAGTAGCGCTACATGCATAAATGCGAAAGATAGAACAAACAGAAGGCCGCAACTGGATGCAGTGGCATATGGAAAAAGCGTGAAGGGTCCGCGCGAGTGCGCGAGGCAATGGAGAAAGGGCCATGGCAATGCGCATATCAGAACGAGGCACGGTGGTGAAAAAGAGGGAGAAAAGCAGCAGCAAGCACGCGCGGGACTGCGTGAACAGGATTGCACGGAAACATACACAACCTCCAACTACGGCATGTCGAGGAGCAACAACCAAAAGCTCGCGAAGCGCGCAGTAGCAAGCGCCAAAGGGGAAAAAACGAGTCGGCATGGCGCACGGTGCTGGAAAAAGTGCGCAACGCGGCTTCAGTGCACTGCAAGGTCCGGGCACCGCGCGCACGTGAACACAACCGGGTGTGGACAGGCAACGCGCAGGCAGGGCGGCACCAGTAGGGCATGAAACGCTATGCGCAACAAGCGCAGGAGAACAGGAATAGAACAATGCTGCATGCAGGCCTCACATGTAGTGGACACACGAGTTACCAAATCACAGGCGTCAAGATGACAGCAAAGAGTGGCGCACAATAGAAGGGATGACCAAAACCGTAAGGTACAACGTGCAGCAGGCAAGAACAGTGCACGAGCACCCGAGGCGTGCAGTGCACTCCCCACGGCAGAGCACCAAGAACTTCGCGGCGTGCGCCGTGAACGCGCCCTGCGCCCCCAACGCGCCGCGCGCCTGGTATCAGATGCGCACGGGAGCAGCATGCATCACATGCACGCCAATGAGCCGACCGCGTGCGCCAGGGGCGCGCGCACTATGCGCCGCGTGTACCACCGTCGCAGCATGTGGTCGCCATGCGCGATAGAGTGGTGTCAGCACCGCACGCGCAGTATAGAACCGTGCGCCTGGAACACAACGCAGCCTTGCGCATCATGTACGTGGCATGCGCACAAGCCTGCAGCAGCAGCCACCGCGCGCAACGTAACCACCACACAGGCCACACGAGCGCACGCCCAAAACGCACGATGCGTGCACCGTGTGGACATAAGAGACATACAGCGTGGGATGGTGGCGACGGTACCGCGGGCTGCGCGCACAAGAGCACGAGTCAGGCATCATATGCACCGCGAGTAGCGACACTACACGGGGCACCCGCGCGCACCCATCAGTAGCTGGAGCAGCATAATGTATGGTCCTCATGCGATGGCGAGCACGCTGCGCACGCAGGGCTCGTGTTGCCACGCCGTACGAGGTATTCATGGACACCACCGTGACGCATGGACATAACGCGCGGGAACAACACCGAACAAGCACATAGCACATCTTCGCTCAGCGCAATGCACCATTGCCCAGAGCACGCCACCGGCTCCGTCACGACCATGAGTGTGCAGTCGAGCGGGCATGAGTACGCGCGACGAGTTTACGAATTTATGCATAACGAATTATATGTGGACCATTGCTCAAAAAGATTTGAGCAGCTTCCGGAAGCACAGGTCCGGAGCCTGCCCTACCCTCGTTCAGCGGGGCTGTAACTGTAGATGCTGCTACACTTGGCCGCGTACCAACATATGGGTTCATATTACATGCTACACATCGTATGCTGTTATTATCGTGTACATAATAATAGTGCCAAAAAAGGGGGATATTATTGCATCGCCAGAATTTTTGAAGCGTTATAAGGAAAAAAAATACACGCAACAACATTCTACATAGTACACAAAATCCCTTTATGTAATGTATTAGCAGTAATCATCACGTAGGTATTGTTACATTTTGGATATGAAATAATAGTTCCTTATATATGTGCAATATGGGGACCCTTTTCCCCTTTTTCTTCTAAATTGGGTTCCTCATCCATAATATCAATAAATACTTGATCATATGAACAAATAATAAAACATAAACACAAACCATGTATGTTGGTAAGAGCGCAAGGAACATTATAATATAGAAAGCGGAACTATAGGATACATGCTTTAAAGGAAACATATGCCTATCACACAAAATCTGTACGACATGATGAGATTGTCGATCCTGTAACCACACGAATAACATATCCTAACGTCAACATAATCTACGAGAAATACAATACGGCACGTACTTATGGTTTTTTAGGTAATTTCAGTGACCACGGTAGTTTCAGCTTCCCCGGTGCTTTTTGCTTCTCAGCTGCTTCCTGTTTCTTACGTGTTTCCGGTTTCTTAGGTGTTTCCTGTTTCTTAGGTGTTTCCTGTTTCTTAGGTGTTTCCTGTTTCTTAGGTGCTTCCGGTTTATTAGGCGCTTCCTGTTTCTTAGGTGCATCTAATTTTGCAGATGCTCCCTGCTTCTCAGGTACTTCTGTTTTCTTTGGCATTTCTGGTTTCTTAGGTGCTTCCGCTTCTTTGGGTGCTTCGGGCTTATTCTCGCCTTGTGATTCGTTTTTTTCCGTTTCTGTTGCAGTTTTCTGCTTCTTCCAAAATTTATCAAATAAACATTTCGCTGTTTTGGAGCGGAGGAAACGTACTAGCACGCAGCAATAGATAATTGCAATGAGTATGGAAAGTAAAGACATGGCGAAGAAACTCAAAATGGAGGTTTCAGTCCCAAACACATAAAACGTACTTGATTCTAATACGGAATGCAATACTGGATACAAGACTGTGGCGACTACTATAAGTATTGACCATGCTCTTCTCCCCATTTTACAACGTTTCAATTTCTGACAACATTCCTTCAGCTTGTTCTGCGCTGTTCCACCATGTGACTTCCTCTGTACAGGTCGTGGATTCTTGACGTGCACCTTGGGTTTAAATTTTCTGCGCATGTCATCGAACAGTGTGTTTTTCGCGGCACTACCAGTGGCGCGAGAGTCGTACAAATTACGCTTCCCCCGCGTTCCCACGTCCGTTCCATCACTCAACGACACGCTGGTCGTTGCAATTGTACTTGCAGCCGCAGTTCCAACATCTGTGCCACATTGGCTTGTTCCATTACTCGATGATGTACCTATTGTACTTGCCTGACACGCATATAAAAAAAAGGGGGAATATATATGCGATTGTTATGGTGTATATACAAGAATGTAGAGCATGAAAATACACGACAGGAAGTTTTATAGTTGTTATGAAAGAGATAAAAGCTTATCACAATAAATGTGTGGTAACTCCCCCAAAATACAGTTGTTTGTTCCATACACAGTCAGCAAATTGCCCGAAGCACAGGGCTAAAATGAATGCAAGAATTTTCACAAGCAACATCATTCTTTTTTTTTCTTTTGCCTTTAGAAAATGCTAGAAGTGGCGATATATTGTTCATATGTATGAATTATGGAACTATTGTTTTTTTTTTTCTTTCACATTTAGGTGTATAGATTATGCGTGTAGTACTTTTATCCTCGGACAATAATGAACATTGATAAAATCAATTTGGTACATGATTTACTATTCTTACCTAAATATATAAATATGATTTGCATAAATAGATCACGTGCACCCTAATATAAGGGAAGAAGGAAGTACGGAAGAAAACAGTGAACAACCCATTTTTGCTACATATTATATGATGCAACATTACTTAAAGGGGTCAACATTGTTCACAAATCTCACACGGGCTAATCAGCTATGTCGCCGTTTGAACGGTGTAATGGGAGCAAAGAGCATATTTAAGAGAGCAAAATTGCATATATGGAATAAAACTTTACTATTTTAAATTAGGTAAAAGGGTGAAGAAAATAATAAGAAGAGAATCAAGTATGCCCCTTTTACATACAAGAACGGCGACAAAAAATTTTTTGGGGTGTAGAGCCGTGGGCTCAAAGTTTGCTCGCATCAGTGTTTAGGGGGGATCTTATTGTCACGCATTCGCCTAAATATACATGTGTTGTGGTCGTTTATTATTTATGGGGGTAGTGATTTATATCGTTCTCAGATGTATTACGCGTAGTGATAAATAATAAATGCAGAAATAGTGTTTCACAACGTTCTTATGTGTGTATACCCGCATCTCTATCTTCTTTTTGAAAAAGTGTGAACGGATTTAATTAAGAGCGTAAGGAGCATATATAAATAAAGAAGACATGTTGGGTGAAATTGTAGGCTTGGGGCTTAGGGTTTAAGGTTTTCGGATTGTAAGATTTCAGGAATGTGAGGTGCCGCAATCCGGAGTTAAGATTCAGGATTCTCAGGTATCATGATTTGCGCGGTTGCGGAATACGGTTTTAAGGTTCGGGGTTCAAGGGTCAAAGTTCAAGGGTTTAAGAGTTTAATAGGTTTAAGCGCTTTAAGCGGTTTTGGGATTATGTTGTCAAGATTGTGCGGGTTAGCTTTAGGGTCTCAATGTTCACGGTTTAAGGATCGCAGTTTGACAGTTTAGGGGCTTTAGTGTATATGGCTTGTTTTTTTTTTTTTTTTTTTTTTTTT